TAAATGTGGTGGAGATTCCATAATGTTGTCCCTCTCCTTTGGTGCCTCTTGTACTGGAGCCCTTGAACATATTGAGGGGATCCTGAAAAAGGAGGGTTACCAGTGCATTTTAGTGAAGTGAGCAACCCAGTGTCAGAAAAGCAGACATGAATCAAAGATCACAGGGTCCTCTAGCAAGACAGTGAGCAAAAATACAGAAGAAATCAGAAATGCTGGACTGCGTCACTGAGTCAGTGATCTCAATCTGATTGAAAATATATGGAAATTTGCTATTGGTAAAGTGAATCCTGCAGACTTGAGAAATTGAAGAATCAGAAAGTCTAACAACTGAAAGGTGTAAGAAGCTTATTTATGACTACAAGAAGGCTGTCGGTATTTACCAAGAGTTGTGAAACCAAGTATTAAAGAAGGGTACCTTTAATATTGTTCAAGTCATATTCAGTATTTCTTCAGTGAAAAGATTAAATGTAAGCTGAAACAGACATCGTTTTGTTGTATAACTCCATGTATGCACATTCAATTAAAATATTCTGATGACTAAATATTGTGACTTTCCAATTATTTCTGAAGATACTATACACAGTTCCTAAAATACAAGGCCAATAATATTGTCCAGAATTGTATTTTCACTGAAAACATGGTAATGCATTTTAATTTTAACTACATAGAAAAACTTTGTGTTTATAGGTTTCGGAAGGCATTTGGTAGCCCTAAACTGAACTGCTTCATGAACTTATTCCTGATATGTAGCAACTTCTTTGTGAGAGTATGGCATGTAAAGGCAAGCCTAAGAGAACAGGAAGACAATTTATTATTTTTTAAAATTTTATTCACTAATGTATTTCTGTAGCAGAAAAAAATGAATCACAGTTAGCCACCATATCAACCTGTCAGCTTGTCTTTGGTTAGAACACGTTTGACTCTGACAAGCCAAAACAGGGCACACCAAAAACAGACTGACCATCTACAGCACCATGTTCCCCTGATGGCCCCTGATATTTCTGGACAGTGCTCTGCAGAAACGGGTAAGCAATAGGACTTGAGAGTGCGGACTGAATGGGGCACTCCAGGATGAGATGTACAAGATGCAGATTCAGGTGTTTGGCCCTGGAGAAAACAATAACTAGGACACAGGAACCAGAAAATGGGGTTGAAATACAAGAAAGAAGTTTGTGGTTTGCACGGTACATCAGCTGTACAATTCTGGGTAACCAAGACCACAGACACCAAAACAGGATGCCAGCCAATGAAAAATGTAAAACCCAACAGAAGAAGCTGGCAAATCAAAACCAGGAACCCAGAAACAAGAAGCGGGTCCACCGAGCCGCAAAACTGATGACAGGATGATGGAGACTCGCAACAAAACCCAGAAATAAATACCGTGCAATTAAATCCTGCCCCAAAAAACTCCAGGAAAAGCTCCAGTCAGAACAGCTCTGAGCAATGCTCACTGCATAGTCCCTAAAAGGTGTGCTATATAGTGTGCCTGTCATTTTGTAGTGCTGTTGAAATTGTTAACAGTGAATCTGACTCACTGGATGTATTCAAAATATATCACTGTTTCACTATTCCCCATATAGAGAAACCTACAGTGCATTCAGGCTTTTTTCCAGATTTTGTTACATAACAGCTGTACTGTAATATGGATCAAATTTATTTTTAAATCACAAATATGCACACAGTACACAATAATCAAAGCAAAAACAGCTTTGATTATAAATGCATTAAAAGTAAGTACTTGTAGTACTTTGTTTAAGTACCCTAGGCAGTGATCACAGCTGTGAGTTGCCTTGTATGTGATGCTGCAAGCCTGGGAATCTTCTTCCTTTCTTCTCTGCAGTATCTATTAAGTTCTATCAGGTTGGATGGGGAGCATCGATGTACTGCTATCTTAGTCCTGTCCAGAGATGTTCAGTCGGGTCCAGGCTCTGTTCTGCCACTCGGGGACAGTCATGCATTTGTTTTTAATCCAGCCCTAAATTGCTTTGGCCGTGTGCTTCAGGTCATTGTTGTGTGGGAACATGAATCTTCGCTCCATCCTGTCGCTGAAACACAGGCCCACAGCATAATGTGGCCACCATCAAACTTCACTGTAGGGATAGTATTGCCCAGGTAATGAGCAGTGCCTCCATTTCTCCAGATGGTATGTTGCCATTAAACCCAAAGTGCTCAATTTTGGCTTCCTCGGAACGTGGAATATTTTTTTCTTATGACCATACAGTCCTTTGGGTGCATTTTGTGCATTTTACTGAGGAAATGCTTCCATCTGCCCACTCTAACAGAAAAGCCTGACTGGTGGGCCATGGCATTGTGGTAGCACAGTGAGACGATGGCCCCAGGGAGACTGCCAAGGTGGGAGTGCACAGTGGAGGACTGGGGTCGGACCCCAGGGAGATATATGAGGCTCCGGTAGCATGGAGACTGGTTTGACAAAGATTAAACCAGGAAAAAAGACCACTGCACATCCTCCTAGACTGGAAGACCACCAGCATTTTTCTGTGCTGAAGCAAGCCCTCCAGTGGCACATCGACACACACCTGATATCTATGTAACTCGCATATCTCCATGCCAGCCAATGACAAGACAAGGCAGAAATAGCATATCCACACGTGCCCCCACTACCCAGACAAGGTGCAGAATGACCTCCCACTGCAATCCTTCGCGCAAGATAGTCGGCCACAGCAAGTCTACATTGCCATACTAAGTATTCTGGAGCAGACGGGAGTAGAAGCAGAACTTCTTGAGCCAATCCTGTGCCGACAAGGGGCATCTGAAGAGCACTGGCATGGTCAGTGGGGAGAGAAGAAGAAGCAGTGAGCCGGTACAAGGCACTTTAGCAACTTTAGAGACTCCTGGTGTGCTGGCTCCGAAGGAAGAGGAGCTATAGGCTGCAGCACTACTTACCCAGAGTCAGTAGAAAAGTTCAAAAGCCCCCATGTATGACTTGACATTGAATGAATTGAGTTTTGGTTGTAAGATATCCAGGACTCGTATAGTATGGGGAAAGACCTGTCCACTGTGTGTGCCAGACGTGCCTAGATTAACAACACCACAAGGAAGAAGATGGGAGCTACCTGAGCAGCAGACTCCAGCCCTGCCCACTACGAGCGTATCATTGGTTCGACAGAACCAGAGAATGGGTTCAGTTGCTACTGTCTGGAGCAAGAACTCAAACCAGGTAGAACGACAGGCAGCTATTGGGCCAGTCAGGGGTAAGATCAGGCTGGGCAGTGCATTAGCAGGGTCAGGTCTGGGGATGTAATGGGAGGCAGTGACAGTTGTCTGGCAAAGGAGCTGCTATTGATTGACTACAGGTGAGGAAGCCAGTCTGAAGACACTGCTGCTTGCCCAGCTTGACGTCTTCGCTGCCTGTGATTGAGACTGCATGCAGACTGATCCACTGTCTGATCAACACATACAGCACTGCTTCAATCCGACCAAATTCCTGCCAGATGCCACTCTCCAAGAAGGATACGGCAAATAGGAAGAGATTACTAGCTAATCATCAAGGGGGTTCACGTTGCCAGCCTATAACCCACTGACGTGCATAGATAATTGACTTTGTTTCCTAGTGGGTTAGAGGCGTTTCAGTTCTCTTGACCTAAGCAGCACCTACTGGTAGGTGACACTCACTGACTGGGATCAGGAGAAGATAGCATTTTCCGTGGGACAAAAACTGTGGCACTGCAGTGTTATGCATTTTGGGATCTGCAATGCCCCTGCCAACTTCAAGAGGTTGATACTCAGTTGGGTACTATCTCACGAGTGCATTGTATACCTGTATGACCTCCAGATACATGCCTCAGACGCTGACAGTGGTCTTACCAACCTCTAGGAGGTCTTTGCCAGTACTTGGAGGGCTGGTGTCAAGCTTCATTAGCTTCTCCAGAGGTATGTGCAATTCCTCGGCCATGTAATGGATGTGTTTCCATAAAGGCAGAGAAGCAACCATGTGAGACTGGCCAACACTGTAGACTACACTGGAGTTCTATTGGTTTGGTGTCTTATGCGGGGCTGCACCAATCTCACAGCACCTCCCCGCTGCTTGGCAAAAAAGGGGGCCAAATTTCACTGGACAAGAGTGTGACGTGGCATTTCAAGCACTCAAGAGGATGCTGACAGCTCTTCTAGTGCTAGTGTTCCCCAAACTGGCAGGGCAAGGAGACGTAATACAGCTCCCAGCCGAGCTGAGCAATGCACAACTATTATGGTACATTGAGGGATCCTCCAGTGGATGTGGTAACCCTGTATATATATATATATATATATATATATATATATATATATATATATATATATATATATATATATATATGATTCATGCTCAGTGGAGAAATTGGTGTGTATACGCATATATACTGTATATATGTACCGTTTTTTTTTTTTAACGTTCTTTTTCTTTTTTTTCCTTCCAAAAACTTACACTGATGAACAGGGAAAAAAGTGCATTATACCAACAGAACACATGTGGTGCCTTATTTGTTACCGAATGCATAAATGCTTTATGAAATGGCTGAATGTCTCAGGGTGATATTAAGTGAGATGATGAAGTGATTCATTAACTTTCACTGCAGGCTAACTCGTTTATTTTTCTTTGTGCTGATGCTGACTTGGCTGCATGTATGTATTTGTGTGTGTATTTATTTAATAGTTTGTTTAATTTTGTTCATCCCAATGTCCCCAAGTCCTTTCACCAAATTCCTGTTCTTTCTTCCCATCCAAAAGAAATGCAGTGGTACCTATAAAAAATGAATGACACATATAGAAAATATTTGTTTTGTAATTTTTCATCGTATTATCACACATGACCACTGATATGTTTCAATGTGTTGGAGATTACACTACAGCGCGTACTAATTTGCAGACTAAGTACAGATCCTGAGCCACTCCTACAATAAACATTAATCCTCTGTATTTGCCTTGAAGCGATTTCTTGATTTTATAAATTAATGCTTTATAATTAAATTAACTCATTGTGACCATACGCTGTTGTTCTGTAGATTGAGAAAAATGAAGAACCTGATCAAAAATTGGAACAAGATGCTCACAAACCAGAAGACAAAGCTCACAAGGCAGCCACCAAAATCCAGGCGAGCTTTCGTGGACACATAATTCGAAAAAAACTCAAGAATGGCAAGAAGGACGAAAGTGCTGCCGTCCCAGAGGCAGCGATGGAGGGAGGGGAAAAGAAAGGGAAAAGCTCCCCAGTGGTGGATCAGGCCACAGAATGCACTACTGAAGAAAGGGAAACACCAAACCAACCAAAAAGTTCAGAACCCGACAAGGCAACTAACACCCCTGCAACTGAACCAGCGAAAGAAGAGGCACAGTCAGAAGCACCCACGGAGACAACGGGAACTGCCAAAGAGGAGGAGGGATCCGCGGCTGGTGAAAAAGTCTCTTCCCCTACAGAGAAGCCCACTGTTAATGAGAGTGAATCTTCTCAGTTAGCTGCAGCCAAGGAGACACAGCAAGACGTTAACAAGGAAGTGGAGGAACTCAAAGAAGCCAATGTGCCTGCTGTCAATGAAGATGAGCCATTACCAGACAAGTCCCAAAATGAGGAGAATGAGTCTCAACTTCCAGAGAAAAAAGGTGAGCTGGCCTCCCGCCGCCTTTTCTATTACGGTCCTCATGTTTCTTTCTTTCATTCTTTCTATCTATCTATCTATCTATCTATCTATCTATCTATCTATCTATCATCTATCTATCTATCTATCTATCTATCTATCTATCTATCTAATCATCAATATTCTTTGTCAATATAGATTTTTAAATTTTGTTCCGTACACAGTTTTTAGATGTAATTTATCTTTTTTTTATAATTACCCATGAATGATATAAAACTTAAAGTACCAAACAAAGCCTGAAAGACACTGTTGATATGGTAAGTGTGAAAAGTGGGTGTCAGGGCATCATTTCATGCAAAAACGGACACAGACAAGCGGCAAATATCTGTGTGCTATTGTAGATTCCTAATTTTTGTAACCAGGCAATAGTCATTGTTCTTTACAGCAAAAAAGGAAAAACCAAGTAATTCATTTATAGGTAATTTAACCAAGCTTCAATTTTCACAATTAAAGCCCCCAAACAAGCATAAAGGCTACGTCCCAGGTAACCCACCATGCAAACTCTCCAAACATCACCTTTCTCTCTGCACCAACAGGGCTGCCAACTTTGGTCAGTTGACTGGAGTGATATTTTCAGTTTGAGATAAGTCTGCACACACATGCACATGCATTTACGTATTTGTAACGGTTTAAGGGCTTGATACCTGGAACTCCCCATCAGACTTTTATAACTGAAGAAGCCTTTTGGAGGAGAGGTGAAACGTCTTCAAGAAACTGAAAAAAAAGTGCCTGAAGGCCATGAATTAAGGTTCCTTCGATTCAAACCCTTAAGATTATCATGTCCTCTGCGACTGAGAACCTACACAGGCATAAGAGTTTAATCACCTTGGAAATAGTCTGTAGGGTTTGCAAACTCTCCCAACACTTGTGATGCAGCTAATTATCTAATGTTCTTTTCTAAGCTGTCCCCCCTCCATCCTACTGGGACGTCCCATCAAACACCCCATTTTCCCCATTGACTTGTACTTTGAGGATTTTCAAACTGCTGCCACTCATACAGGTTTCACACTAAACTCACCAAACTTGAATAACACAGTCATGGGGTCACACTAAAGCAACTGCCGACGTTTGGTGGACGTGCTCAAACCCAGGTCCTCTCTTCCAGCCAATCAAATTTCACCTGTTCAAAGGCAGCCACCAACAGCCCATCAGATTCAATCAAATCAAATTTTTAACTTCTGTCATTCTCACATTTTTGATGGCAGGATCGCTAAACTTTGCACAGTTGATCAATGGGTGACTGCGGTCCAAGGCTCGAAAAGGGGGTGGGGCCACCAACAGCCTATTAGATTTCACTCATTGGGAAAATTTAAACTGCTGCCATTCTCACACTTTTGATGGCAGGGTCCCCAAACATTGCACTGTTGGTCAATGAGTGACTGCAGTTCCAGGTTTGAAAAAGTGGGTGGAACCTCCAATAGCCAATCAGAATTCAGTCAGTCTTTAATGGGAAAATTTTAACTTACAAAACTTTTTTCAACTTCATATAGCTAGCTTTTTCTAGTTTTGCTTTGGAATTTGAATAAAATTTTCCATAGGATTTAGACATACGCATAAAATTCTGAAATCATGAACATCACTCCAACCCTACACTTTAGATTTCAGTATGTTGCAAATATGCCAGACCAGAACAAGTCCTACTTTAAGAGTGATGGGCCGGGGGAGGAGGGGGGACACAAGGAAAGGAAGGGGAAAAAAACAATGCACACTTTATGTACAGCATGTGATGCGAAGATGTTTATAACAAAACAAAACATGTGTCTGTTTTCCTGTCTAATTGTGAATGAATGAATGTTATTTATTTAAATGTTTTTCAAAACACCCAATGGGGAGTCACTTCATCCACCACCACTGTGCAGCCCCCACCTGGGTGATGTGTCCATTCTGCACCAGTACGTTCACCACACAGTGGCTAAGGTGGTGAAAGGGCAGGAGGGGATTCACCAGCTAGATATAGGGGATGTTTAGGAGGCCAAATTCAAAAAGGGGCACACTGGCATTCTACTAACTCGAATGCACCTGCTTTTGAAAATTAGCATTAGGAGGATACATAAGTGATGGTACTTGCTATTTGTACGAGCAGAAATACATAGGAATTCCTTTGCTTCCATATATCCTGTCTTGCCCTGACAAATATGCAGGTGTGAGCAGAGCATGAGCTCAGATCACAGCACTGAAGAAGAGTTTTTGGGTTTAAAGGCCTTTGCCAAGCGGCCACAGGTAACACAAATATTCTGGACGCAAACACAAATTCCTCAACCACAGAGCCATGAACCATGAATTTGAATTCATTGAAACATTTGTGAAAGCGGCTCTGTAATGCGCAACCAAATTAGCTAGGATCCAAAGGAAAATGTGAATAAATGTTTGTTTCTTTCTTGTGTTCCATTTCAGACGATGTCGAGACTAAACCAACTGAAAGTGTTCCAATAGAGACAGATAAAGGTGAAGACCAGGCCAGCCAAGACAAAGTCTGAAAAATATTAGTAATTATGCGTAACAGGAATTGTCATTCTGCCTTCTAAGTGTAAGGACCATTCATTTTATTCAATTTTTTTCACTTTTTTGTGTGACAGTTATTTTCTAAAATTGGGGGAGTTCCCATTGAAGGTGTTTGGCTCAAGCTAGACCTAAAGCCTTTTAATTTTAAGGTTCATCATATTGTAATGATTTGATTAAAAAGGCGCAAAATTTCTTCAGTCTAAATTAGAGCGACCCCTAATGTTATCTTAAACATTGAGAGTGTGTCTAGCATTGTAATACCGACTGATATTTGATTCATGATGGTCACCTCACACAAAAAAGATGAAATGGATTTTGAACAGTATGACGTGTAGTACCGTAAAACCCAGCAGAGTACAACAGCTTGTCAGCATGACATGAATCCCTCGAGTCATTTAACCAAAGCACATGGAAACGCCTCCACAGAAATGTTTGGCAGTCACAAAAAAACATAAAAACAAGAAAGTGACTTATTTTAGATGTTGTTGGTGTTGTCATGACAGTTTGACATAATAAATTATTTGAAAATATTCTGCACTGTATTTAAAGCAGGAATTAACAAAAACAACAAAATTGCTCTGGTTGTTTTCCATGTTAAGTGAGTGCAATCTTCAGTTTAAATATATAAGGAGTTAAAATTGTGAGTGAATAAATGGTTCAGTTCAATTCTATGTGATGGGAAACTTTTGTCTGTTTTCAAAATAAAGCAACGTGCCAATTACAACATTCATTGTGAGAATCTGTTTCTCCTGCCTTTTCTTTACTTCTTCACTAGCGTTAAATAAAATTAGTCCAGCAATCAAGTCATTAATAATCTAAATAATTTTCATCATTGATAAACTGAAACGTTACTAAAAAGTATGCCATTGATTAAATTCAATTGATTAATAAATGACGACAAATGAATAATAGAGGGTTATATATGCACCGGTTTCCTTGGAATCGGAAAGGATTTAAAAAAGAAAAAAAAAACACTTACTTGTAGGAATGGAACACTGTAATTAGAATAAGGTGGTTATTGACAAGGATGGGGCTATTTCATCAATAATGTTTCAAAAAAGAAGCAATATGAGAGTATTACATTATACTGTATGTGCCAAAGAATGACAATGAGGGACACCAGAAGTCACTGGAATCCCGCGTGTAGGGTCCTTCTGTAGGTCCTGCTGGGCTAACCTACCTCTTGTAAAAATATATAAGCTCAAGTAAATAAAAAGAAACTGAAAATGGCTGCTGTCTTGAAGAAAAACAAGGAGTTTGTGGTGCTATCTGTGAAGTAAGATAAGGATTCTGATGTGGAAACAGAACTGGGCTAATAATGTCTGAGTGGGATTTGGTGCGGCCACATGTTAAGGCCCATCTGCCGGATGCACCAAATACGGTTGCTCTGTTCTGTAGACGGGTACCTGTGATTCTGCTGTCTGAAGATCTGAGAGCTGAGTGGGAACTACCAGACCAGACAGTGGAAAACTGTCCTAAGCTGTGCAAGTGGGCAGTGTGAGGGTGGGGGATCCGGCAGATGTCAGGTGATACTGAAAGAGGGTAATTTGGACCTTTTGCCTCATAGCCTCATGCCCGTGTTGAAATAGAAAAACAAGGCTTATAGCTAGTGGAGCGTTTATACCACAGATATTGGAATTTCTGCAGATGGAGTGCATCTGACCGCTCAGGTAAAGTGCAAATTGACCAACGACCTTTTCTGAATTGGTCAAAAACGATTGTATAAATGGGGAAACACCATTGTCTTTAGAGAGTGTCAAATGTGATCTTGAAGATTTGAGTTTTGACCATGCCATGAAGCACCCCACCCACTCCTAATGTTGATTATATACAGAGGACACTTTTCTACCTCTTATGAATGATGGCCTCAATACCAGAGTTGTGGCCACGTGTGAATGGGCTCAGTCTTATCACGCACTTGGGTGAATTTTTATTGGTTTTGATTCAGACTTGAAAACTCTTGACCTTTCCAGCCAAAACTGGTTTTACAAAGTAATCTAGCGATACCTATCCAGCTAATGCCTTATAATAATTATTATTGTTGTACTTTATTAATCCCCGTATCTAAAATAGTCTTTTTCACATCACAGACGTTGGTCACTAAAGAAATCAGTCAGTCAGTGTTATGTTGGTAAGTTTTAGAGGAGACTGGTTCATGAACAGGCTCAGTTTAGGCTTGGGTGGTATCTAATTTCTTATAGCATTATACCGTCCAGATAATAAACTACAGAGCCCGAAAACTTCCAAGAAATTATATATTTTTTTATCTTGTGCTGACAAAATATTACAGACCATTAATTGCTAGGAATGGACACTCAGGGCTCCTGACTGTAAGTGAATGTGACGTGTACATGTGAACACTGAAAACTTCATTAAAATTTGCCTTAAAGAAATATGGAAACCCAAAGGATTTGAAAGAGTTGCCATGAACTCAAAATGCTGAACCAATATCTCGTTACAACTGAAATAACCTTTTTTCATAGCTATTAACAGGATTTCACACAAGATAATAAAATATATTTTGGGACTTTTTGCGGGCCCTAACAGATTGTTTTTCTGCCTTGCCAATTATTGATGGCTATTGGACACTAAAAAGCATGTCTGGGGACCGTATGCCTGGGATTCTCATCCTGACACATCTGCCACAAGAGACGTCCAGTCAGAGACGGCATCCTTGCTTATTTCCTCCAGAGTGGAACTACATATTCCTCCATTTTGAAATGGTGATTCACAGTCTCACAACTGACTGTCTGATCCCCACTTTAACTCAAATTCTACCACTCAGAACATCAAAGTTCAACCAGCAAGGCTGCTGAGAGCTCTGGCAGCTTTCCTCCACAATCTGAAAGACTTTCCCTATGTCTCAGATGAAATTGCCAGAGTGAAACCACAGCTAATTGAACCAGACCCCAGACATTTGATAGCTTGAGGAAGAATTTATGACCAGAGTAGTCTGTGGGTCTGCTCACTGTGGGGGACCGCAGCAGAATGTTATGTGACATAAGAAAATTTGAGGAAAGTCAATGCAAGAGGAAAGAAGCACTTCCTCATGTGTTGCAAAGAGATGCATTCCAGGGAGCTTCACATGTGTGTCTATCCTATATTCCTGATAGTGTGTTCAGTGAGAAATTTTATTCTGTTGTTAAATTGAGGATGGTGCATTATCAGATAGTAGAAACCACCCTGAATGATCACAGTCAATCAGGCATCCTCTAAGGTCCTTGCTGTGACTTGCATAGAGACTTGAAATGAAAACGATCCTTTATTTGGTATCTGCAATGGAATGTGCTCTTTTGACAGATGCACGCACACATATATAGTACCAGAAAGGTCTGCTTGTATTATTCTCTACATTTTATAATAATTATTAAGACATGAAACCGATAAATTAACAAAGGCAAAACCCGCTGAGCAACACAGCGCCCCCACATGGCTGGATGTACTGTAGCAGGCAGGGCTGCACCTCAGGTAAGATGAAAGTTCACAAAGGCATTCCAGAAAGCCATAAGTTGTTCCCTCTCCCAGGAGAAACTTTTCTTTATCATAGATCAGATACATTTCCACATCTGGAAATGGCAGTAACGTGCTACTGCTCAGCCAGCCCTGATTTCAGCCATTTTCTTACTCTTCTCTGTTTCTCATCACAATCTATTCTGGCCAGGCAAATGGATCCTAATCCATTTTCTTTTTTTTATATAATTGGCTAATAAACCGTCCACCGGACCAATGATGGAATTCATGATCCCTTAATTTACAGGGCTGATTCCTTCTAGACTCCTTACCTGAACTCATTCATCCATGTGCTTCCTGTCTGTGATGTTGCACAGGATTCAACATCATTCAGTGTGAAATCAGTCTCATCTTCATTCGGGGACTGCAGAGTGGCTACTAACCAGCAAAATGTCTAATTGTTTTGTCATTTCAGCTTAGGGATTCCAGTTTGATTCAGCTGAGAGGCTGAAAAGACAATGACTTTATTTGATTCAAGAACTGACACTGTTTCAGTTTACCAGACTGATTCAACTCAGAGGCTCAGCAAGCTTGAATAATGTAGATCAGGGACTGGGAGCTTGATCAACTCACAGGCTGCAGGGAAGTTTCTCACTTTAAAAGGTAGTTGCTTATCTCCAGAAAGCTAGAACTGTTTGAGTGTAATGTGTGTTACAGTAATGCTCTACCATGAACTAATCCTGGACAGAAATTGTGGTGACACCAGTCCCTTGAGATTTATTAGAATTAACAATTTCAGACAATCAGGAAGTATTTCAAACACAATTTATTTGCTAGGTTAAGACTACTTTAGACCAATTCTAAATGAAACCAAAACACAGAGGTCAACAGAAGTGGCCTCTTCACTAGACAGTTATATTGCACATGTACAAAACAATACACAGAGTCAAAGTGACACATAGAGAAGAGGAGACACACAATCTATGCAAGAGAGCTACAGATGCTTATTACACAGTACCATGTGGGAGATTTGACTATAGAGTTACTCTGCAGTAAAGGAGGGCGTGCTAATCACACATCCCACAAGGAAGCCATGGCTACAGACTCACACATTCCACAAGGAAGCCATGGCTACAGACTCACACATTCCACAAGGAAGCCATGGCTACAGACTGCCACATTCCATAAGAAAGCCATGGCTACAGACCCACACATTCCACGAAGGAGCCATGGCTACAGACCCACACATTCCACGAAGGAGCCATGGCTACAGACCTACACATTCCACGAAGGAGCCATGGCTACAGACCTACACATTCCACAAAGGAGCCATGGCTACAGACCCACACTTTCCTTAAGGAAGCCATGGCTACAGACTGTCTTCCTGGATACTTTTTGGACCCCACCTTAAGTACCAAGACAAGTGATAGACATTTCCTTTGGATCTGGTAATAAAACTCAACTGTTATTTTCCTGAGGATGCAGAAATGGATCAATGCACAGCCAGATCCCATGACTAGTAGTCAGCTGTAATTTTAATAATGAGGTTAAGTTTCTTTGTACACTGTGGGTGCAGTGCCTTTCAACACAGCAAGATTTTTCTAACTTTCTATGTCTTTAAGATGTTAGGACTGAAACCACTGTGCCAGTCACAGCGAGACCATTCAAAACAGACCAAACATGAATAAACATGTGCAGTAAGGGTCTGCATGTGTCATTAACAGTCATATCCCATCTCTAAATTCAGTGATCTCAGAAGCATCGTTTCACCTCTTCAGAATCAGGCTACCCTCGTTATCAATGCCACAAAATATGTTCTGGATGTGAGAAAAATATGAAACAGCTCTGATCATTTTATCTATTACTATAAAAAATCCACCACCACTGATTTAATTCCTATGGCGGCCCTGCATAACCCCCAAGTGATTGCCACTGAAAATGTTCTCATATGTGTGATACCATGAAGATGCAACGGCAACAGTACATGCGACTTCCAGTGACCTCGAGGTGACCCCCATTATCAATAATAACATTGACAGAAATATACTGTAATACACAGAACTGCGTCTGTTAGGGCTGTAACAGGACACATATTCATTATGTACTGTTTGGTCCATCATGTTTGGTACAGTATGCACAATGAAATGAATGAATATGTTTATTGACACAGGTAGAACCTAAATTCACAAGTATTCAATGTGTTCAATGCGGAAGACATCATGCTAATTGTGGTTTTGAGTTGGTCACAATTAATGCTGGTTACCATCAGTGATAACTGGCAGTTTGGGA